CAGTTCAGATGATTTTGGGGAGGGAGGGATGGGTTTCAAGCTGGTTCCTAGTTTTTTTCATGCATCTAAACAGGAGCACATCAAGTGGCCAGTTCTGAGGGAACTTAGCATAGGAATGGCTGGGAGGGTCGCAAGCCAACTTCTACCAGGGATTTAGGTCTGGGGAACTGAATGGTGCTTCAGGTCAAAACTGCATTGGCAGAACTGTTGGTCTGAACTAGCAGGGCCTCCATGCTGATGGTGACCTTACAGAAGAATAATTATAGTAAAAAAGAAAATCAAAGGAGAGCTTTCCTGAGCAAGAATTAGCATCATGTGTGTGCCTTCCTGCTAGGTAATATAGCTGTGGACTTGGTCTGTGCTGAAATCTGTCAGCTGAGGTAAGCCCAGCCCTGCTTGCAAGATGAGGGTTTTTGGGGGGTTTTCTTTTTTACTTTTTTTACGAAACTGAGACAAAACAAAGCTATTTTAATTAAACTGTTTTTTAACCAAATCCTCCTTGTCTTGAGCAAATGTCCATGCAAAGATGCGCAGTATTTTTCCATGTTTTTATTCCATGTGGGTTTTCACATCTCATGATTGGGTGTTTTTTTCCCCCCATTTTATATCATTTCTCTGTGATTTCATGGCAGATTATCATAATATGACAAAATAATGGTGGAACTGTTCATGTTGTCAAAGTGTCAGCCTGCTTCATTACAACACACCCAGGCGGCACTTTGATCTAGGGGGAAGAGGGTTTCTGTTGCACTAAGAGATGCCTTTAATCAGTTAAAAAGGTAAAAACATGATAGAATATTTCGACAATGAAATCGTCTCCCAAAGCATGTACTCCCATTATTGATGTGCCATGTGATGCATGGACAACAATGGAAAACAAAATAAAAATGAAAAAGCCCTTTGATGGAGTAAAATTGGAAAAAACAAGTTCAAAATTCCTCACATGAAATTTCCTGACATGAAAGTGTTTCATGTTGCTGGAGAAGGCAAAATACATTTTGCAATGGCAGCTTTTTCCTGCAGAAGGGAAGTGCTGAGTGTTGATGGGCTGTTTTCAGGGGCTCTCATCTGGGAGTCATTACTGATGCATTCAACTACTTGAACTATTGAAGGGGGCTGCAAAGAGGATGGAGCTGAACTGTTCTCAGTGGGGGAGATGACAGGACAAGGAGCAATGGACTGAAGTTGCAGCAAAGGAAGTGGAGGTTAGCTATTGGGAACAACTCTGTCACCAGGAGGGTAGTAAAGCACTGGAACAGGTGACCCAGGGAGGTGGTGGAGTCTCCATCCTTGAAGGTTTTGAAGACCTGGGTAGCCAAACCTTAGCTGGGATGATGTAGTTGGGGCTGGTCCTGCTTGGAGCAGGGGGCTGGACTAGATGTGACCTCCTGAGGTCCCTTCATACCCTTGTTTTCTATGGGTCTATGATACTGTGCCAATCATCTTACCCAGTCTTCTCTTTCCTGAGGTCAGGTGCTATAGGAGTCACTAGGAGAGGTGAGGTGGCGTGGTGCTGCTATGCTTAACATTCTGCTTTTAATCACCACAATGTGAGAGAAGGGCAATCGCACAGATTTCTATGGAGTTACTTTGCATTTTTGTTTGTTCAATGCCAAACAAGCTAGAAGTGCTTATATTGCAGTGCTGCTCCTGCTAAGGCAGCAGTATATCGGTAAAAAGCCTCATGGGCAATAAAAGTGACTTGCCAATTGTGGCAGAGTTTGAAATGGCACACTGAGCAGGTAAGCGGATGTGCAGACAGATGGACAGACATCTACACTTTTGCATTTGGTTTCGAATCTCTTGCCAGGGTGGACAAAGCAAGTACACTAAAGCCACTGCAGCTCCTATGGGAAGACAACTCCTCCAGGCAGTCCCCTTTAATTTATTTAGCATATGCACGTATTTAGCAAGACAAGGGCCTCACCAGTGTGAAGAGCTTGAAGGCCACCAGGTAGCATAGTAAATGGACATGAGTCAACAATGTGGGTCATGGTTTGAACTTGTCCACAAGGGCATTTGTCATTGTGAAGGCCTCATTGGTATAGGTCGGAGGCACTGTGGCCCTGTCCTGTTCAAAAATGGTTGAGAAGTGGCCAATAACAGCATGGCCCGTTAAACCCTGGTTGACTGAAAGTCAAGTCAAGTCAAGTCAGTCTCAAGGCTACTGAGACCCTTGGGGCACCTTAGATGCTGTAACAACATCTAAGATGCTGTAGGGTCAGAGATGATGTGATGATTGATTGGTGCTTGTCCTAACCATTCTTCGTGCCATCAAGTAAGGAAGGAAAAACCCATGGGTTTTGAAAGGGTGCATTATATTGGACATCTTGAGGGGAGCTGAGCTATTACTAGGTGGAATATGTCCCAATGCACTGGCAGCATAGGATTATCACGGAGTCACACAGCATTTGTGCAGCGGACATAGGGCAACCAATGCTACTTAGGACTGGTAACCATGCGAGTGGAGTGGGACGCAAGATGCATTGTAGCAAGCAGTTGGGTGTCCATTAATTTGCTGAGCAGCACTAGGATGCTGGTGGCCATGTGTGCCTTCTCCTGGGACCCCCCTTTCCTCGTTTTCTTCCTTCTCATGACTTGACTAGTCCTTCCTTTCTCTCTGCAATACTGCCGGCCCTAATCCTTTGCCTTGGCAGGTGGTTTGTGGAGGACTTTGTGGTTGCTGTCGTGTGTTTCTTCCCAAACGTGAGGGCTTTGTAGAGCTAATCGGCTGTGAAAAGCATTTCTGTTCAAAGGGGGGAAAAGGAGGGGTCTCTCTCTCTCTCAATGGAATGGTTAAAAATATTGCCCTGGCCTCTGTCTCCTTTCCCACATAACTATGAGAATTTGCTGCAGATGAAAGTACCCTGGAGCCCTCTATAAACTATATTGCATTGTTCCCAGTATGTCAGTAGGAGCTTTAAATTGCCATTTCTGAGCTGACTGCAGTGGAGTTACTATGGCGTTACAATGCAGTGTAGTGGAGGGATCAAGCCAAGAAGGCTTGATTTGGAAGTCAAATATAAGACTCCTATTGATTTTGACTATGCAGGCTCAAACTCTTCGTCACGTGATCTTAATAAATGGGGCCCTTGATTTGTTATACTTTAAGATTATATATAAAGGGACTGTGTCCTTTTACTGATCTTTGGATTTGACAAAATCAGCAAAAAAAATTTAAAAATCCACAGACTGCTTCAAGTGTGGATGGAAATTCAAATTCTTAAATCCTCCATGAACTGAAATAGCTTTGTGTTGGGGTTTTCAGGTAAACATTTTTCTTTTTATCCTGCTTTCCTCAGGGGAAAAAAAAATAGTGACTTTTTTCAGTGGAAAAAAAAAGAAAAAAAACTTCCAAAAGAAAATGTCCTTGGAAGGGAAAAAATCAAATTAAAATCTCCCAGGCCTATTTATAAAGAAGGAGATACTGAATGGAAATAGAGTGGGATTTTTACAACCGGTGCTGATCTTTTCTTTTCTCTCTCTTTCCGTCTTTGTTTTCTTACAGCAAGAAAAACAGCAGACACCAAACAAGAGACCCTGGGAAGGAATCAGGAAAGTGCATTCCCCACCGTCGTGGGTTAAAAAGGACATGGAGCCTGTATCACAGTCTCCCTTAGAACTCAAAACTGTAGAGTGGGAGAAAGCAGGAGCTACCATCCCTCTGGTAGGACAAGACATTATTGACCTTCAGACGGAGGTCTGAGCGGAAAGGAAAGCACAGGACTTTCATTTTTCCGGAGGAAAAAAAAATACAAAACACAAAACCCACAAATGAAACAACACACGTTTAAAAAAAAGATGATTAAATTAAATCAAAACTGAGTGAGAAAAGTGTTTGGTTTCTTTTGAAACCTTTGGTACAAGAACAAAACAAAACGAGAAGTAACTTTTGTATCGTTCTCAGCGGAGCGGGGGGATTACTTTCTAGAACATAGTAGCAGTAGGTTCAGAACAACTCGGACTTTGCCCCGGGGGAGAGAAGAGGACGTGAGCCTGGAAACAACGCCAAACCGAAGAGGAAGGAGAGGGAGGGGAGGGTGGGAGCGGGTGGGATACAACCCACGTGACTCTTTAGCGGCAAGAGGACGACAGGGAGCCATTGCCAGGTATGTCGAGTCATCCTGCTGTGCGCCGGGGACACCAGAAGGAACCCGAGGAGTGAATGCGGTGCCAGAAGGGCCACAAAAGTCGGGGTGGATTGGCAGGAAACGAGAACAGAGCTCCATCCGGCAGGATCTGAGCCAGGAGGTTGCAGGGGGAAGCCCCACTTTGGCCGGTCGGTGGTACCCATCCCTTTGCACACCCATGAGAGGGACCGAGTGTGTCAACCCTCTCCTTTCTATCTCCCCCTCATCAGCTACCCTACGAAGAAGGGAATCGCCATATGCCAAGCTGCTGCAGCTGGTGGTTGAGATGGTGCTCTGCTCCCACCAGCTCCCCTCCACCCTACCGGGCTCTCCGCCGTTGCTCGAGCACAGGCCACAAAGGATGCTCCGAGGGAGGTGGCGGTAGTAGTCGTGGCAGGGTGGGTCTTTCTCCTTATCACTCCACAGCTGGTTTCCTGAGGAGTGGGACACACGGCAGGGTGAGACCTTCTCTGAGGACCTGCTTGCCCAGTCTGCAGAGCCTGGGTCGAAGGAGAAAGAGAGAGAGAACACAAAACGAACGTAGGTCATTTTGTTGACTGTTAGGTAGAGAAACTCAGCGTGGGCCTGTTCATGCGGCCTCATCTTTTTTGGTTTTCTTTTTAACGAGACACAGCCGATTTCTTGTCCACCCTCCGTGGAACCCAGAGAGACAGACCTGCCGATGCCCTTGGAGACGGTCGGTACAGAGACAATATTGCCTTAGGACATTGAGACAAACTGACCAACGAGTAACATCCGCTTGGAAACAAACAAACAAAAAAATCTATTTTTTTTCCTCCTCCTTTTCTTTTCTTCAATAAAAAGAGAACTTGAAACCCGAGACCTTTCCTTTCTTTGGCTCTTGTTTGAATGCTTTTCCCTGTCGGAGTCCTGCACTGATATCGGGCAAGGAAACCACCTCCCGGAGGCTGAGCACAGGTCCTCTGTGGACGGCTTGGGATGGTGGGAACACACGGGTCCACCTGTCCAGCGGTGTTTTATCCCACGTAAGTCCCAGCTAACATCGACTGGCTGGTTATTCTCCTAGTTCGCTGATCCGCACGGCTAGGAGCCAGGTTTCCAGTTCTAGGGGAAGGAAGAGAAATGGGTGGAACTAGTCACAAAACTAGGGATGTTGTCCACCAAAATAAATAAATAAATCATCATTTTTTTTCCCATGGAAAAATTTGTTCTAGATTTTTCTCATAAAAAAAAAAAAATCCAATTTTTTTTTTTTAATGATTATCTTGATTTTTAAATGATTATCTCGGGGGTCAGACTTGATGATCTACTCAGGTCCTTTTCAACCCTAGATCTATGAATCTTTATTAAAAGAATATTTCCCCACCCGACAAAAACCATCAAAATAGTTTTTCATGAAAAAAAAAACCCAACTTGCATTAGACTTTTCTCCACAAAATAGTTTTCAACATCGTTTTGTTTTCACAATTTATTTCTCCCATTTTACAAAGTTCATCGTCATCCTCTAACAGCTTCCACCAGCTCTGAGAAATGGGTATCATGAGACACTTCATTGCAAAATAACATGCGGAGTCAAAATAGCGGCAGTTCTTGATCAGGGTCTGAACTATAGAGATGCGTGTTTTTATTTTTTTAGGGACAAAGCCAGAGATGGCACCAGGTTTTAAAGCAGTCAGTCCAATCAAATTGTGCTTCCCCCGACTGAACATGTTTGCTTGATATACAAGCAGGGTTTTAGGGTTTGGGTTTTTGTTTTTTTTTTTTGGTTTGGGGCCACATGGTTTATTTTTTTAAAAGTATAATGGCATCTAGTCATTAGTTGTATGATATTTAAAAAAATTAACTGAGAAGTAAAAAATAAAAAATCCAAACATTTAAAAAAACTG